CCCCCCCCCCCCCCCCCCCCCCTTTTCCAGTGAGAACGCCAGCCGAGAAGTCCCCTCGAACCCAGGTCCCACTCCCGAAGCAGTAAGTCTCACCAAAACCAACAATGTAGCATACAAAAAATGAAGAGTAAAAGAAGGAATTCTTGTTTCTCTCACTTGGAGGGCTTCTCCTCGACGTCCTGTCTGTGCTGCATACCCGGCCGGTAGTTGTGCATGCCCTTCTGCAGGGTCAGGTAGAAGCCTTCCGACGGAAAAACGGGCGCGCGGAAAAGAAAGGAGCGAGACTGTTAAAGCAATGCCGTTTGGCCTTGGCCAAGTTCTCGATTCTCTCTTGACATCCATACGCCATATACACCTACATAGCCGCGACAAACAGCAAAGAGTCGCCTCCATGAGCTACCCCGCCACACGTGCAGACACTAACACAAGTTGAGAGCAGCGAGCGGCGACGGGCGACGCAGGGAACTCAAAAACGGCTACACAGCATCGGAAAGCTCAATCTTGGGGGATCAGTTGGTTCTGCGGAAGAGGTGGCTAGCGTAGCGTAGCAGCCTGGCTCATCGAACACCCTCGATTCTTAGTAGCGCGCGGCTGTCCCAGGCAACGGCTCACCAGGGTGTGGTCTTGCGAATCGCGAGTTCTTCATGTTCTGGTAGCTCACGCATCCGTCGTCGTCCCACCCGGGAACGATCACTGCAAAGGACATCGGGCCCGTCGCTCTCCGCAAGAGGTGGTGCATGTGGTCCACCATGCGCTCCATCACCTCTTCCACGAACGGCGGGTTCGCCTGAGACAAGCAAGCAAGAAAAAGCAAAGCCTCAAAAGCAAAGCCTCAATACCATCACGCTACGGCGGGTACATGACATGGATGCATCCGAGTGCGCTCAGTCGGGAACAGCAAGGGTCAGCTGACAAATCCACCGTACACAACATTGATGGATTCAATTACACCAAGTCGGGAACAAAGTGTAAGTGTCTCAGAACAAATCCATCTACAGCAGGGGACCAGTTTCAATAGCTTGAATTCATTACAAAAAACGCTGGCCCAACCAAACCAATCTCGCAAAGACCTTCCCGTCTCGTCGGTCTCTTGAGATTGAGACTGCATGTAGACCCCCATCGCTTCCTACGCCTGCCGTTCACAAAGCAAATCGATGTTACCCCACCCTTCCCTCGACTACCCTGTCTTGCACCTTGCACGTGGCCACCTCAATGTACTCGTGGGCCTCCATGTTCACGGCCACACGCTCTGAAACCTTGAGCCAATACCGTCGCCTCCCCCGGCTCTAACGGTACGCCCGCATGCGCAACCAACCGCGCAAGGCATACCGCGTATTCCATTCCGTGCAACGTAGAGAAAACCGCAAATGAATCTTGACGCCACATACTGTACACACCTCGAAGGATCCCTGAAACAAGCCAGGCGTCCACAGGGAGAGGATGGGGGACAACAAGCAAGCAAGCAAAGCAAGGGTAGTGGGAGATAAGAGCGAGTTTTCAAGGTGAGAGGTACGAAGCAAGAGCAGCATGTGCATCTTCAAGGCTCTGGGCCTGAAGTAATGTCGAGCTCTATATTATCGTAAACGTCAAACGACGCTCAACGTGCCGATCATAGGACAAGACCGTGTGAAGGCAGGCGATACCAATGCAGTAATACCCACCCAGACTATGCTGGGTCAACACTTCGAGTACTCCATGATAATAGCGAAGCAGATCGCAAGGGGTCAACGTTACAATCTACAGGCAAACATGGACCAGTAGGTAAGAGTTCCAGGATAGTCGTACCTGCTGGTACTCCGACTGAAAGAAGTTGCCCTCGCTTCCGAAGAACTTATCCGTGTCGTACGCCACGGAGCAAAATCTGGCATGCATGCATGCATGCATGCGGACGGACGGACGCCCAGATCGGACCAGAATTGCGAGAGATTCAGAACAAGCGTAGTGGCGTTGTCACCAACCAGCTTTTCAGAGAACTACAGTACATCAACAGGCCGGGACTTCCTAAGACAAAGATCCAACTCTACTGACCCCTCTTGATTCTCCGAAAACGACTAGTTTGGGAACTACAACAGCAGATTGTGCCTTGCGCAGTCACCACGACATGACCAGAAATGCACCCGACTCCACACCTTGACAACGTGGCACACCATATCGAGCCGCGATTCAAACACACCTTGACAACAGGGCAACGCACATCGAAACTCGATTCGACCACACCTTGACAAGGTGCAGTTGAGAGGGCTGGCGAAGCACTCGCAGTCCACGGACACCAGGTGTCGCAGCAGCCGGAAGCCCGAGGCCGGGAAGGCCATCTGGTACCCGTCCGAAGTCGCCGACAACGTCTCGTATCTCGAGAGGACGCAGAACAAGCGCCGCAGCTGGAAGGGCAAGGTTTTGATATTGTGAGAACAGAACCTTTCAACGTTTCGATGAGCGGTTAGCGCTAACCCTGACCCTAACCCTAACCCTAACCCTAACCCTAACCCTAACCCTAAGCATACACAGAGACGGGACACGCGCCAAGCAAGAGCAAGAACGGCGCGTACAGCGACACACAACACGCGGTTTCTATGCGGGGCGGACAACATGCTCCAACGCACTGCTTGCGACCGCTGCGCGTGCCAGCACGTCGAACGTGCCTGTTCGTGTGAACAGAGAGGGCGTGACGTCATGGTTGTTGTCGTGCTCATCGGGTCAGAACCGTTTGAGCAAGGGTGTGACAAGACCAAGACCCGAACGGGTGGGGGGTCTCGCGGCGTAACCTAGCAAACCAAGTGCCCAAACAGCGGCACCGTGATGGCGACGCATACGTAAGGCGCGATTATCAAAACAGCCCGGGGCAACGTCTGCGCAGAGAGGAAGGAGAAACAAAACGAGTACCACCCATTCCATGTGGTTTTGTGGCATTCACCTTCGTGGAACCGGCAACACAGACGGGCTCGACGGACGGTGCAATACGACAAACAAGCAGCGAAAGACCGACCTGCTGCACGTGTAACACCAATTTATGGGACACCAGCTATAAAACAGAGCTTTCGCTGACGCTATGGATTCATTGCTAATCTATCTTAGACTCTTTTCTTCGATAGAGATGGATTCGTTGAGTCATACTGATGAAATAAAAACATAAGGACACTCCCCGCTTTATGGACACCATTTTCTTCAGGAGCATGGTGCCCCGCAGACTGTAAAAACACAGGGAGGGGGGTAATTTTACAAGGACACTTCCCCGATTTACGGACACCTGTCAAAAAGAAATGGCCCCAAAAGCGAGGACGACTGCATTCCCATCAATACACCAGTCTAAACACCCGCCGCTCATCGCCACGTCTTTCCCCCCAAAACCACTCACAAAGTTACGGTCCCACACCGGCGAGTCCCCCCCCACACACCGGCAGTACGCCGACCACGTCTTGTGGAGGTGCGCCCCCGTGATGGCGAAGGAAGCCTCTCGCCGCCCCGACGTCTGGCCGGCGGATGCGGGTACGTATCGGAGCCTGTAGGAGGAGTTGGGGTTGGGGCCGGGAACGCGGGCGCCCTTGCCGGTCACCGGACGCCAGCCCATGTCTCCTGCGCGGGGCAACGTGGAGATGAGATGTTGCGTTTTGTCGGTCGGTTATTGTTCTCCGTTCAGCCTGACTTTTCTCCAACTCCCAGGTTGTCCAGTGGTGCCGCACTGTGTACACTGGGTAGGCCGGCGTACGGTGCAGAGCAAGAGGACGAAGAAAGGAGAGAGAAACTCGCGACGCCGGGAGTCCTACCATATAAATATTTCACTGCGGTGCGCCAAGGGTAAAAAAAAGAAGAAAATCGCCCTAGAGTGTGCATGACCTCAACCACCCCCGACAGGTGCAGGCGGAGGTCAAGTCTGGCCAGGGTAAACTCTGTGTGACCCTTCAAGAACAAGAAGGCGCCAAGAAAACCCGTCAACGGTGGCCACACGAGCTTGGGACGCAAATAAACCAAGGCGGTCGTTCGGCACACCATGACAGACATGACAGACATGACAGAAATGACAGACATGACAGACATGACAGACATCGCCGACGGCTGTTGCAAGGACAAAGGGTAAATCGACCGAGAGCGAGAGAGAGAGATGCAACTATTAGCCAGCTCAGTCTTGTCTTTTCGGGCAAAGGGTTCGTGTCTGGTGAGAGTTATTTTTTAAATTGTTGTTGTTGTTGTTGTTGTTGTTGTTGTCTTCACATTAAAAACCGTTCCGATCTCTCTCTACCCAGTACCTTCGTATGTCCGTACTGATCCAACACTCGACGCGGTCGATTCCCGTGGTCACAGGTTAACATTCCCTAAAAAGGTACACTCAAATAAACTGGCCCCGAGGGGTCCGCAAGTCAAATTACAACAGGTCCGGTCGGTGAGTGTGCAGGTGTGTCCATAGGGGTCCGTCCCTCTCACCTTTTGGTGTCGGCACCTCCTCCTCGAGGACAACAACGTGCGATTGCAGCCCGGGGAGCTCTGCCTATCGCCGCCGGCGGGACGGTGGGCAGTGATCGCACGAGGGGGCGGCAGTGGGCGTCACGAACAAGCGGAACAACAAGTCAGCGTGAAACAGATTCTCCCTGATACAGAATGGGGAGGGAAGTGGGCGTGACAATCAAGCACAACAGCGCGACGCAGATTCTCCCTGATGCGATGGTCTCCTACGACAGCGATTGCCTATCCTCCGTGCAGCGAAACCCATCCACAAGGTGGACCGGAACCGGTTGACGGTATGCGGTCCACCGTCGTGGCACGAGGGACAACCTTTGGAAGGCGAGCAAGGGGGGAAGATCCACGCATGGGCATGCAAATTCATGCACGCAACCTGCTCTTGCTCTACAGAAGGATCCAGAACGAGGCTTAGACTCAACACAATCTCAACCAAGCGAGCCCATGACCGTTGAGAATCTGTACAAAACAGCTCATACATCACTGACGAGCTACATACCTACGGCTTAGCCTGCGTCCGAGACGACCCAAGCACAGGACAGTGCTGCACACGTTACAATCGATGAAACCCTGTCAAAGAGAAATTGAGACCGACTCTCAGACAAAAGCACGCACGGTGGCGCGACAAGCATTTCCCACCATGTCATGGACGGTTCGCACCTGCAGCATGACTTCCAGCTCGACCGACGCCGCCCTGCAAACGCTCGACAACTCTTGTAACACCCTCTTCGCCTGCGACTGGGACCTCTTGCCCTCCACCAGCTCTTTGACGAGCTTGTCATCGATCTCATTTTCGAGGCTAGGAAACACAGGATCCGGAGGCTGTGGGCGGGAAACCCCGCGGGAAAGAACAGGAGGGCAAGAGGAGCGGCTCATGGTCATAGATGGTGCAAACGTTTGCACATCACCACAAATGTTATTGCAGGCCGGGTACGACATAAAGGGAACCAGCTCAGCGTTTATTGTTCGTAAACACCTGCAACATACCGTGGTAGACAAGCGGCTACGGGAAAACACTGAACGCTACAGTAGTCGCGTCTCCGATAAAAGAGGGTGGTGTGACAAAGGCCCTCAACCCTCTTGTGTCGGATCCCCATCTCACACCGGGATAAGAGGGTACTCAACTACACTAAACTGGGTCGAGTCCGGGACAACCGACTTTGGCCCCCTTATATCGGACCCCCCCCCTTTATAGGCACATACCCCCTTATATCGGAGCCACGAGCGTACAGCAGTACCTGCCCTTTATACAGCACGAGAACAACTGACGGGCTCACCAACTTTGACGTCCGCGTCGACTCTCCGGAAGCGAGCGCCATCGTCTGCCGCATGTGCTGCACCCACAAAAACCTGGACTCGAGACAGGAGACAGGCCGCCGCCCGGAGCGCAGAGCGAGCGAGAGATAGCATTCAGCTACACAACAAGCACGAGCACGGCCCGAGGGCGTGGCGTGCTACACCAGGCCAGTGGCATCACGGGCTGTTTGATAAACCTCTCCTTGCGCGTGATGTACATGTACTAAGGCCGTCCCACGACGAGGAGCATCGGGGTCACTAGACGAAACGGGGTAAGCAGCAAGCATCTCCGGACTGCCAACACGAAAGGCCTCACAAATCAGCAGTCCAAGTAAATCTTGGTGAAATTCCTCGAAGCCACTTCCCCGAAGCCAAGAAGTTCCCCCGCACATGGCGGGTAAACATAGCAACGACCACGGGCAGGCCATCAATTCCATTACTTAAAGCAACGACGCGCGCACCTCCCAAACATGCCGCTCAAGCCCACCACCATCCCGTCCTCCCTGCAGCTGCGGCAAGTCTTGGAGTAGCCAATCATCTTCCCGTACTCCTCGTTCACGTCGGCGAACCTCTGTAGGCAGTCCTTCCTGAGCTCCTCCCTCCGGAGGGACACGGACGGCACGTCTTCCAGCAGCATGTCCGCCGCCGGGGCGATGTCCGAGGGGGACAGCAGCTCCACCCCTCCCGCGATATCCGCATCGACTTCCATGTCGTCCCCCGATGAATCCCCATCCCCATCCGCTGCTGCCCCCGCACGCGGCGGGGGCGGTGGCGGCGGCGGCGGCGGTGGCGAAGCCTCTGTTGAGGCGGCAGCGTTGGCCTTCGCCTTGGCTGCCAGGATTTTCTCCTTCCAGCTCTTCACCTTGTCGCCGCTGGGGGCCGGAACGTCGGAGGACTGCTGCTGCACGAACGGGGACTGCTGCTGTTGCCCCCCGGAGGAAGCGGCGGCGGCCGCGGACGAGGCTGAACCCGAGTTGCTTGCTGCTGCCGAGGGCGGGAGATCCCACTCCGCCCGGCCCGTGGTCGGCTGGAACCAGTACTTGCGGCCGTACCACTTGGAGGTTTTCTGCACCCATCCGGTGAACCACTCTGACTCGCCGGTGGTGGGGTTGTGTAGAAACAGAGCGCCACCACCTCTCTGCGAAGCGTGGCGTTCCCAACCTGCCCCCCCCCAAAAACGCCCCGTGGTAATAGATGGACCCACGTACATAAGCGGTGGAGAGAGGGTTTAAGACGGGAAAAGAGCCAGGCCACGCGCACCTGTCTGGGGGGCATGCGGTCCATATGTGCCGCCTGAGAGAACACAGGGCCACGTCGCTAGAAAACGTGGCTATTTCCGCACAACGCGCGCGCCTGACCTCGTTTCGGGTGGGCGGCCTATCTCTCCATGGTTTTGACCTATGCGTGCCTACGTGCCTACCGAAGTAGGTGACACAAGATACCACACCCCCTGGACCTGATTTCAAAAGCTGAAGCTCGAACACAGCAGAACTCGAAGACGAGGAGGATGAATAAATCACACGATACGTTTTCGGAAAGATATATGTAGACGAGGCGGTTCCAACGCCTCCAGGCATTTTACGGCACCATCGCTCTTTCCGCTGTGGATTAATCAAGCTTTGAAACTCGGTCTTGAGGGGGAGTGATATCTTATGTCAACCCTACGGTACTGGTTTTTGACCTCTCCCGGTCACGGGACTGTCAGAAATTATACCGCAAACGTCTTTATTTAGCGGTATGCGCTCGTAAGCTCCCTTCGCGAGACAGAGCCAAGACGAATCTGCAGCAGCTGATCTGCAGTACATCGCCAGTCACAACAATGAAGCTTTGTAGTGTTTCGAACCTTTCGTACCACAGAAGCTCATACCTGTAGGGAAGTCGATACCACTCACGACATACCAAGCCAAGAACCCTGCAAATACCGGGTGAGCGGGAACCGTGTACGGTTGACATTTGTGTACCATTTGTGCCTGAAGCCGCTTCCAGCTATGCATACCAGCCGTGAGACACGTAGAACGACTTGCGACGATTTCGACCCTGCTTTGCTGTAGGCGGCGTGAAAGGTAGCACTGCTCAGCGAACGCGCTGTCTCCTCCTCCGTGTCTACACGCACGCACCACGCCCCAGCCGCTCTATTTGGCAATTTCGAACTGGCCTCGCTGCTGCTGCTGCTGCTGCTGCTGCTGCTGCTGCTGTAGTCTGCAACACTGCACAGAAACACACACATGGTCCGGACTTAGGGCTTGCACTTCGCACCTGGGGGGTCTTGCCACATGATGTCGGGGAAGCAGGATATCTCTGCTGCACGGTGTGTGTGCGTGTCCGGCGGCAGCAGCAGCGGCGTATTGTTTCAGAATTTCAGCACAATAAGCGGCTCCGTGAATCGAGCTGGTACCCACGCCGCGCGTGCCTCTGGTCGGCCTGGGCTGCACAGCAGCAGTACCTTCCCAGCAGGCACGCTTCCCGAGTGGAGAGCAGGTGGAAGTCCCGCCACCATGGGGGTACTACCGATGTGTGCACTGCTGGCTGCAGTTGCTCCTGCTTCGTGCTTCTTGACCGGTACGAGGAGGTTGGTTCCTTCTCACGTCGCCCCCAGCGCACAGCAGCAGGAACAGCAGCAGTCCTCGCGGATCATGAGCACAACAAGCATGGCCGCTCAAGCCGTTGCCTGGCCAGATGAAGTCACCGCTCCATCGCTGGACCAGCCTGTACGAGCAAGAATACTGGCTGTCGCTCCCGATGGCGTGGCGAGCCCTTTCGAAGATCGTGGAACAGCAGTGCCCTGGTTCGAGGTGTGTGCATGAAATAACAAAACCGGCTTTCCGTGGTGCATACATGTAGTTGAGCCGCACATATATCCCAACAGGCCAACAGGTCAACCAACTGATGGATCAAGTTGCGCGCGTAGTACTGCTGTGCAGGCGATTGGTGATTTGGAGTCGGGTGCACCAGTGTAGTCCCGCAGGTGCAGAAGACTTCTGCGTTCTGCTGTCTAGGCAGCCGTATGTACCACATGCTCATGCTCGACGGGTCTCTTGGTCTCTTGGTGTCGGGACTACTTGCTTTTTCTGCTCGCGCTCGCTGTCTCTTTACGAGCGCAGTTGTTTGGCTTCGTTGGCGGCACCCGCCTGTTTACCAAGTACTTCTATGCGAAGGTTCGGATTGCGAAGCACAGCAGCTTGCAGTTTAACCGAGATGAATGCATAGCCTTGTGTCGATCCCCGAGAGAGCCATGTGGCACTTCAATACCTCGACTACTATCTACTGGTGTTGCTCCCCTAAAATACAACCGAAACCCGGCCTGACTGGTGCGGCCAGTTTGTCGAGAGGCACTGCAGTTACTGACGCGCAAATGGCGCCATCTTTTCCTGGTGGTTTTCGCGCGTTCCCCCTTCGACATCTCTCTCGCAGGTGTGGGACCACATCGCCAAGCGAGTCAAGTGGGCGGACACGGGTGTGGAAATGAAGGTGGGCGGTGGCCGTTTTTCGCATCACGAGAGAGAGAAACTGACTGTCGGCGTTGTTGGCAGTATGAGCCGGGGAACCGGCCTTCGGCACCGTTCTACCATGTGTACCAATAACCATCGATCGATTCCGCCGTGCCAAAAGCGGCATACCTTGTAGACTGCTGTCTATGTGTTTGACTGCGGCCGAGGGCCTGTGCTTCTTTTCTCGAGGCTGTTCCAGCCCAAAGCCGTGGGTAACTCCACAACAGTTCGACACCACGATGCTTTGACTAAATACCTGCCCCGTTGTATTGCACCGCACAGGTATTCCGCGAAGAATCGCTGCGCAAGGATAAAGATTCTTCGGGCGAACGGGCGCGGTTCAACGACCTCGCGGCACGCTCCGACGTGTTCGTCGGCTCCGCGATCCAAGACCCTGCCACAGCCGAGTGGATCGCCTCGGTCATCGAGAAAGCCGATATAACGACGCGCTTTTCGGCGGGCTGCCCGCCGGAGTTGGCTCGGACTTCGCTGGTCGGGAAGTTCCGTCCCGATCCGCCGGCGCCCGCCTTGGTGCGAATCCTGCCGGACTTCCTGAGGGATTTGATTGGAGGGCCGAACAGCGGCACCAAGAAGGACCGGGTGCTGTGGGACACGCTGAATAATTTCTACGAGAGGAATTCTTCAGAGGACCTGACTTTCTTGTCTCTCGTGCTCGTGGACTCGTGAGTGGTGGGATACCGTTCGTCGGTGTGCGGGCGTTTTTTGCGTTGTTGTTGCTGCTGTTTCCGGTGGTAAACTACCACCCGCACGATCATGGGATTGAAAAATAGCGAGCACCGACATGTAACCGCGAATGCAAGCCGCTGTCAAGGTAGCATGTACCTTTTCTTATCCAACCCACGTACTGTCCTATGGCGCGTCGTGCCATTTTTTTGTCTGTTCGGAAAGGCGTTCGGTGCCGTGGCAGATTCGCAAACTTCTTTTTTTCTGTTGTGACAGCAGTGAACAGAAGGCCTTCTTCTCAAAGTCCGCATCAATCTTGACGTTGGTGCTATCCTCTGACCCCTTCGGCAATATGTGACAAGCTAGGCGTGCCGTGAGCGTTCCTCATTGCCGCCAGCCACATAAATGTTAGCGCGTAGCTCATGCACGGCCACATGGGTGCAGCCTTGGCTGTCTCGCAAGCCCTCAGTTGTTCCTCAAGTTGCGTAACCCGCCGCCGCAGTTGTCAACGTGGCTCTCTCTCTCTCTCTCTCTCTCTCTCTCTCTCTCTCTCTCTCTCTCTCTCTCTCTCTCCCTCTCTCTCTCTCTCTCTCTCTCTCTCTCTCGCTCTCCCTCTCTTTCTCTGTCTGTCTGTCTGTCTGTCTATCTGTCACCGCCCCCGCGCAACAGGTACGTGACGACAGTGCCGCGCGTGACCGGCATTGGGAAGGATTCCAACCCGGACACTGTCGACTGCATGATGGAGAACTGCAAGCAGGAGGTTATCGACTGTGCCAAGGATGCCGACTGCCGAGCATGCATTTCTTGCCTGACGGCATGCCCTCCTAATGACCAAGTGAGGACCGAGGGACAGAGAGAGAGAGAGAGAGATACAGAAGGCACCAGCACTTAAGGACCTCTTGCTTTGCTTTGCCTGCGTCTCGTTTCTTAGTTCTCGGTGGGGTAAATAACGCCATCAGCTTCCAAATGGGTTTTTAGTATTGGGTTAATAACTGAGCGCCTGTCCTTTTATGGTCAAGTTCTCAAGCGTCGATTTCTTTTAACCTGAAATTTTTTACTCCCTCCCAGGTTGCTCTCAAGTGGTGGTGCATTCTGTATTTTGCATCAAGCCGGCGGTGGTTCGATTTTTTTCGGCTGCTGCTGTTTACTACCGTACCTGTCTACGCCCGCCAAACCGCACCCCGGATGCATGCATGCATTGCTGACAGACGCGTTTGTACCCCGCGCGGAAAAACTACCCGACAGGTCTGCGCCTACCGATGCATCACCTCGTACGAGACAAAGACGATGGAGATGTTCTCGCTCTGCGTGCTGCAGAAGAACAACTGCATGTGCAACTCGGCGGAGATCCCCACCCTCCCCGACCCGCCTGCGCAGGCCACCTTCCGAGGGAAACCCCTGACGCACGAGACTGCACAGGACCTCTTCATGGGGTGGCTGGGAAAGGAGGCCTACTCTTGGAAAGTGGTAAGTGGCTACTCTTGCAAAGTCGTAAGTGGCCGTTCTTGGAAAGTGGTAAGCGGCTGCTAACCCTAAAGTGGTACGTGTAAGTGGTATGTCCCTGGTGCACCGGGGACCATCTGATGGATAGTGTCGAGAATGGCTGACGGGGAGCGGGTGCTGTTGAGACGCAAGACTCACTGGAATGCCAAGCTTACGCGGCGACGGCACACACATTGGTCCTCGAGGACGTCGTGCTTGTTGATGCGTTGATTTTGTACTACTGCTGTACGCTACAGTTAGTCATCTCAGATCCCATCATGGCGGGCCTGTTCCTACAGCAGTCTCCGAAGCTTTTGAAATGATAGTCATGTGCCACAGCAGTCGTACGTCCAAGCGCTTTGTAGGACAACGCACAAGATACCATATTTCTGGTTTCTCTGCCGGCCTAAACGATCGTTTCGCCGCCGGAGTATCTCGGCAAAACACCCCGCCGTCGTCTGCTTCAAATGCTCATCTTTGTCGGCCTGATTCCTCTCTCATTGCTCATGGCAGGTCTGTGGGCAAAACCCGGCCTATGATTTCTTCCCGAGCCAACACCAGATCTTCTACCGCGGTCGCGGGGAGGGCCAGATGTGGTACGACCCGGTGTTTAAGGTGGTGACGATTAAGGGAGAGGAGGTGAGGCTTGCCGTCTCGCGAACTAAGTTTCGATGGGGGCTGTTGCCATTGATTGTATGCCCGACCGTGGTATTGGGCATGTTTTGCCTGCTAGGGAATGTGTCCATCGGTGTAAGAGGGCTGCTGTGATGGGGTAACACTTGTACAACTCGCGTATCGGTAAGAGACCACATGCAATCTTTCCTTCTTCCTGTTTTCGTTTTGAGAGCTGAAGCAGAGTACTCGTGCGAACTTATTGTTCATGCGCGGTATTTTGTTCCCAAACAGCTGCCGCAGAACCCCCCTGCGAGTTGAAGGCCTCGTGACAGCCGGATGGTGTAAAAAAATATTGTCTGGTGTGGATCTACAGTGTACAGCATGTTGTATCATGTCGCATCTTCACGGTTTTATAAGACACACCTCTATATACCACCACTCGTGACATTTGGGGCTCTCCTTTTGCAGGTTTGGCGACGACGGCATTACCGCGTCAAGCCGGCGGTAACTCCTGGAACGTTCCGATTCTCGGTGCTAGACAACGGGGTCGTCTCTAACGAGTACTGGCGAATTATCGACGTTTCGGACGACCTTTCCTGGGGTGAGCGATTGAGTCAGTCATAAGAGTGATAGCGTCATACGAGTCAGAGCGACAGAATGATAGGAGTAAGAGTCGTAGAGTGGTCTGTGGGATCGAGTCATGGGGTCAGGCATAGAGTGACTGACTGCCTGATAGAGTCATAGAGTGATTTGTGGGGTTGAGTCAAGAGTCGTAGACAATTGAGTGATAGCGTGATTTGAGTGATTACGTTTTTGAGTGATGAGTGACAGCATGATAGCGGTGCGTGCCTCTTTGTTTCTATGCCTCTGCGCTAGTGCTACCCGTATCTGATCCTGTACCATATCCTGGAAGACTGGCTGCAAACAATGGCAAACAGTTCGGTTTTCGCGCGGTGTTTCGGGAGACGGATGGGCACGTTGACCACCTACCTACACGCTGATTCGGCTTCTTTTTCTTGACCGCGTGTGCACGGCAGGCGTGTTCTACTACGCCGGTGCTGCTACGGCAGCGGGGCAGTCGTATACGGGGTCGCTACTGGTGTCACGTGACGGCGATTGGCCAGAGCAGAAAGAGATGGAGCGCGTGGAGAAAGCTTTTGACTCCTGCGGGATAAAGCTGTGGGAGTTGTTCCCGGTGGGTGTAGGGTGGGCGCCACGATGCCATTGCCGGAAGGATGCTCTCAAAATTTTGTCTTTTTCTACGGCATCTACTCGATTGAGAGTATGACCGCGTTGGCATGCGAAAGTTGTGCGCCACTCTGCGGTGTCATCACAACTTGAAAATGGCAACGACGATTGGCTTACCACGACGTGCAAGTTTCTTATTGTTTCAACTGGTCAACAGAACATGGTACTGATAGTGCATGTGTCGGAATATAAAAAAAATCGTGGCTTACCCTACAAGTCTCGCTACCTACATGTCGGTGTCCGTGTTACTCGCTGGGGTGGTTATATCCTAGAGGTTTCTGTGTAAGAAGATCATGTTTGCGCAATGGTCTGATTCGATTACTTGAGGGAACACTCATGCTCATGGGATAGGTGCGCGCTATCCTTTTTGTTGGTGAACACGAGATGTGTGATACTGATTCACGTTAATCTTGCCGATGAACTCTGCGACGACCAATGCTTGTTCCTGATTCCTGGTTGCTTCTTGCCGCTTGCTGTACCCTTTTTTGTCGCAGGTGGACAACACAAACGATGAGGGGGCGCCCCTCGGCCTACCGGACAGCTTTGCTGCCAACAACGATCGGCCAACCCTAGTGTGAAACGGATAGAACATCTCTTTGTGTCGCTTGTCTCGGCTGCCGGCCCTGCCACCGCATGAGCCAGACGTTTGTCAGCGAATACATCGCTGATAAATGCCATAGGCAGGGGTCGGGGCCGCCTTGTGCCGGCCGGTCGACTCGTAGATCCGTGGACAAGTTGAGGGTTGTCTTGTGCCTTCCTCATCCTTGTTTGGTGCATTTGTTTTCACTGCGGGAGGTGTTGGACGAACGGAACAGGAAGTGCTGTTGCGGTATCATCGGTATGTAGATCGTACGTCAGGTTCGCACTTCCACAATCGAAAGTAGTGTTGCTGTGGTGTGTCTCCCACGAGCAACGTGTCCACTTCAAGGCCTTATTCTTGGACATTGGCTGACGCATTCTCTTGAGGATAGACTACGTGTCGTTCGGTTGCCGCTTATTCTCGCTGATGATACTTTTTTCTTCCACAACTTGGTACGCTATTTTGTTGCGCCGTTTGGTGTGCAGCATGTAGGTGTGTGTTCGTCGGCTTGGTCTTACCCTGGCAGCTTGCGCGGTTTGTATATATTGTAAACTAGAACGCAGTGCAGTGCGGAACGAATCAGCCCAAGGATGGGCGCTTTTATGCTGTTCAGACTTGGCAAACAACGTTTTGACCACGTTACACAGTTTTGCGAGTAATCTGTTGTGAGTCTACAGATCCTCGCTCACTCGCATGTGTGTCTGTCCCTCGACTCCGGTACGGGAGCTCCGAGCTAGGGAACAGCGGGACCTTTGCGAAACGCTAGCTATTCGTGTGTTAAAAGCCGAAGGGCAACACAATTGTTTTTCAATCGACGACAAAACACACACAATCTTCAAAAATTGTGTTTTGGGGCCGCTACTCGCGAATCGTCGTACATACAAGTAGCTGTTGGGTGCGGGTCGATCACGGGCTGTCATTTACAGTAAGTATTTATCCTTCTCCAGCCACAGTACAGAGAAAACGATAGCCAGTCTCTTTGTAAGAACAGCAGTCTGAAGAACGTGCATGATATTGAAAAGTACAGCAGTTCACTTCTCCTTCCCCGCTCCCAAACCAACAAGGTGAACCCCGGCTGGTACACTTTACACTAAGGCGTCTTCGATTTTGTCCCTGTGTCAAAAATGGTGGTCGTGAGGCTGATGACAGCCGTTTGTGCAAGATCGATCTACAGCAGTATGTTTGTCTAGTCGCTGTCGACTTGTAATTTTTGAAAGAACAAAGTCATAGTCTAAGACCATACCAGCATTTTCGTGACTGCATGTGTAGACTACAGCAGGTACCTGGTACAGCAGTATCATTTCGAGGGATTTGGGGATCTGGGGGCTCTTTGCGGCCAACGGAAAATACAAATTTCTGTAACCGCCATAGACTATATTTTGACAGTCCCGTGCGTGCCCGTGCGTCCTTCTTCGTCGACAAAATCGCAACCTCGAAGATCAACCGACGTACCTGGGGGCATAACCAAGACACGTCATTGTGCACAGGGAAAGAGGGAAGCAAACGCTACATCTTCTCGCGAGCGCCGTTCGTTGCTCTGCTGGACTACCAAATAATATGCCTGTGGGAGAAAACAACTTCGACCGCCTCGCTAAAAGTGCTCTAAGATGGCGGCCGGAAAGTGCCGAGCGAACAGCGTGGATGCAAGTATTTTTCTCCCTCCTCACGCAAGCCAGGTATGTTTGAAGACTATGAATCTCAGCTTTAAGGCCAAGCTGGTCTGGGTGAAGTGTGCTCTCGTCCGCGCGAGTAGGACAGTAGTCTGGCTTTGTATGGTTTGTTGTGTAAATTAGAAGACTATGCGACTGTATGATCCGGCGTCACTTTGTCAGCGTCTTCACATAGAGACCACCGACAGCAGCAGCAGCAGCAGCAGCAGAAAGTTTAACGTTTTCTCAATAAAAACGATACTGCTCTTGACACTCTGTAGCGGCTAGGATACAATGAATTGTGTCATCCGGCATTGCTCGACTCTTCGGCACAAAGGAAGCAAGCGTGTCCATACCGAATACTGACCTATTTCATCAACAACAGCACGGTGGTGTGTGTTACTAATGTCATAATTTCACCAAGCCTCACCCGGACGTGTGTTTGCAGCTCGCTGGCAGCTTTCCCGTCGTATAACGTCGTTCTGGGGCTCTGGGGATTGTACAGCGTGTACACCAAGAGCCTCCAATCCACCCAAGTGTGAGTTTCTTCTTTGTGAAGGCACTTTGTGGAGCGAGGATAACAATCTAAATGTAGTGTGTTGTTTCCCGAGTTTTCAGTCGAGATATTCCATATAGTAGATGAGATGAGCAGAATGCGATGTAGTTGTACTACGCAGCCGGTGCTGAACTGCACGCAAATATACGTTCAGAATGTGTTGAGAGGTTCGTCATTGTGTAGGTCATCGGTCACACATCTATTTGTCTGTGTTATTTCCGTGGGGCTGTACGCGCTATGTGTGCTGCGGTGTGCTGTTTTCCGTATGGAAGGCTGACCGTCCACTGTGCCTAGTTTATACATATTCTGGTGCCCCATGGATCATGCTACCATTCGGTCGAGCAGATCTGCCAAAATCTCAAGAAGAAATACTTGTCAGGACTACGAAACGCAAAAAATAGACCGCGCACTACACGGTAAACTTTAGAGGTGTGGTGAATACGCATCGTGTTCTTCAAGCAACGCGTGCAACTTAGCATCAGGGTTGAGTTGTGCCAACTACGCATTCTTATCGTCGGCCTGCCGTTCTCGTCCACGTCCCGTTTCGACCGTCACAGATATCTGGGATTGCTTTGCTTCTCCATTCTGCTTGACATTATATTCTGCTCCATTTGGGGTGAGTTTTGCAATAATTGGCGTAGACGTTAAGCCAAATTGAACATGCTGGACGAGTTCAAACATATTTTGTCACTTGTTGTTCCTCCGAGCATATTGATTTTGTAGTGACTCGGACAACTCAATACACTGTTCAAAAGTTACCGGGGGCGTGCTTACTTGTACACTCGGACGTGCTAACCATCCCTGGCATGCACACAGCAAGGCTGTTTCTTGAAGGTTCATCAAGACACGTTTTTCATTTCGACGAAAGGGTTGCCCCTGACACACAGGTAGCAGCCACGCGCACCGTGCACAGCCCATTGAATTTTTTTACCATGTTGTCGTGCTAAACGACGTACGTACACGATGCATACCGGCCTCGATCGACCAATGAAGATGTCGGCATGGTGATCGTCTCTGCCTTTCGCCTTTGCCAACGCTTTATTTGCATGAATGTGTTCTCGTTCTTAGGGAGCAACGACGCCGGCATCTTCGACGGATCGACAGCATCGTTTTGCCTCGTCATGCTCATCCTCAACATGCTGGCGAAGCTAGCGGCGGTGTACTGCTTCTTGAGATTCTACAAAGAAATGGAGTCTGGAGCAATCCGCCCCCAAGAGCGTTTGGGTGCCCCCGCGAAGCAAGGAGGGCGCCAGTCGGCGGGAGGGCGTGGCGCGTACGACATGGCACCAATGTCGACTCACGAAGAGCGGGCTCCCGTTGGTTCTCCCGATGGTGAGAAAGAGGGATGTTTACGTGTAGAGGCCAGGAAGCGGCCGGAGTCGAGATGTTACTACATATGGAGCAATAGGGAGTCATAGAAGCCCGAGCAACGCCACACGAAACAACTCTAGAAAAGTGCCCGCTTACTCCTGAAGCAGCCCTAGAAGAAGTGCTCTATTCGTTCCTTTCTGCATATAGAAATTAATTTGACCGAACAAGGCCGACGGCCCATCGCTACCATGGCCAAAAACCCTATCGCACGATACAGCAGCATACACCCCCTTCCGCTCCCGAATGTGTGCTCCGTCCGGTGACTTTGAATCTTGAATATTTCCCTCGGAGTATTTTTTGAGGCCTTGCACTTGCGGAAGCGTCCACAACACTGCGTGCTACCTCCTCAAATGGTGCAGCGTCACTCGTTCATGAAGAAGATTGTCCCTTCCCCCTTTTGCGCTCTACGGAACCCTTGCAGCGAGTCTGATGAGTTCTGGCAGTGCAGCATCGTTCGCACTTTCTCCGAAGGGGAGGGCTGACTGAGATAGCGGATCGGACATGGCCCCGACGGTAGACACCAAGGAAGACCAAGGATAATTATCGCGAGGCGATGGAAATTGTGACAAGAACCATGAAAAAGGGAACGTCCGTTTCCGCCGTATTTCTCTGTCCTTCGCCCAAGGAAGGATGATGTTCGCTTTCGATGCAGCTAGTCGTAAGGATTGGTATGTACGTGATGTAAATAGAGGCTCTCGAGTAGATGCTTCGTGTGAGGAGCGCTTAGAACGTTTGCACGCCAATCGCGCGTTCGCTGTGGGTGATATAACGAGTTACGCAAACAGTTGGTGACCTGGCGATGGCTAAGGTCGGCAACTCTAACAACCCTGCGAGAGAGATAAATGCAAGCGCAGAAAGAGCCATTCAGTGCGGTTCATCGCTCTCGTGTTGAGAAATTTTGGTGACAGATGGCCCTTTACACGTGTAGTATCGATTTTCAACTTACTTTCAGAGTCTCGGTCTGCCCTAAGAAAGATCCACTTCGAAGTGTAAACAACAACAGCTACGGTACTACACGTAGGCAGCGTGCAGACATCGATTCTTGGATCATTCGCACGAGATTGTATCAGCTGTGAAGCTGTAGCGGAGCACAGTCCAAAGGCAGGAGCATGCGAGGGAATTTTTCTTGTGAGAATGATGTGATCTCGGTGGTGTGGTGGTTGTGGTGTGTGGCGTGTTACCGTGTGCATTACGGCGGTGGCCCGGCACCATGGAGTCTGTTCCTCTGTGGTGCGATATGTGGCATGAACACACACGCCTGCATCCAGTGGGCTGGCCCAAAATAGTCCGAGCCCTACACATTCAAATCTCGCTGATGTCTCTACACCTTACACTATCTATTCTACAGAATCAATCTTGGACGCGATTTCTGATTGTAGTCTACAGCTGTGGATGTTTGCTGTAGGACATACAGCAGTCTACACATTGCTACATGATGATGTAGCTCACTTGCTGCCGGAGTGTATTTACCCGGGGGCGAACAGCTAAGGGGAAATCTTTTTGAGTCTATGCAACGAGGAACCGTGCTCCTCATTGCTCCTACTGCTGTAGCCAAGGCAAGTAAATCATCCAGAGGAGGAACAAAAAGGGAGGTCGTATCTATCCATGCAACGAACATACGAGATTTGCCCGGTTCTTATGAAGAGGAGAGTCTGTCATGCAGCAATCAGTAGACCAAGACAAACATAGAACGATGAGAGGATAGGTGTTAAGTCGGTGTACCATAGACAATGCACCAAAGCCCACTCAAGACATGACATGAGGCAGCGGCTCAGGGCCCATAGGTAGGGCTAGCCGGGGACGTAATATATAAAAAATCGCGCGAAGCGCGAAAAAATGTTAAGAGGCGTTTGCACAGAGTTTGGCTGTTTTTTTGTTTTTTACGGACACACCTCTGATCCACTGCTGTTTGTAGGCCGTTCTCCTCGAACTGTGAGCCGATTTAGAAACGGTTTCTCGCACTGCATTCTCAGGCACGTCTAGCATACCGTCCAACTCAATATCGTTGTTGAAAGACGGCAGATGGCGCCGGAAACAAAAAACACACCACACACACACACACACATCGCCTGGGCAGCCGTGGTGCTGTATCTGCTGCCTCAATCGTGGGCCGTTTGTAATTTCCTTTACCATCCAAAATTCTGGGCGACTGCCGTACAAGTAGTGCACTTTTAACTGACCGAACGGCCTTTCGAACCGGTAGGCAAATATTTACATTTTTTGTAATGTGTCCAGCTCTTCTCGACCCGGCAGTACAGGCTAACCATCACCATCCTCCACGTGTGCGTATGAGCCCTTGCATATTTCTCTCCCTCCTCCCCGGCCTGCCCCCCCTGTCCCTGGGGTAGGCCGAGGTTCCGCAAGTGGATCTAGACCTCGAAAGACCACCCAGCAAAGACGGATATACGGTCCCTAGCACTGTTGAGAGGGGGATCCTGAGTTTGGCGGTTGGGAGTTACTGCTGTCGTGAGATCGGGGTATCTCGTGAACCGCCAGCTTTGGTAGCTGCAAAATGAGGCTGGATCCTAACGCCCCGGCTTGGACACCGGGGTTATGCAGCAGCAGAGAGCACGGTGAGGGTGGCGGAGTGACCGCACGCCGTGGGGGTATGCCCCAGAGAGAGGAAAGGAGAGAGTCCAGAGATGAAGGGCCACACCGCTCCGGGACAAGAAGACAACTCTATGAGAAACAAGGCAAGAACCGGGAGAACTATCATCTTAGCCCGAGTGTTCGCAAAAAAAATTGAATGTGAAGACAACAACAACAACAACAACAACAATACATCGCACGGGCAGGGCAAAAACGTCCTCTTTCTTTGCTTCGGGTTCCAGACTTTGTCCGACTCTGGGCGCCGCAAGCTCTGGTCCACTGAACATTTTTTCGCCGGTTCAACATCGGGCTGGGGCGCTGAACCTTTCGCCTTATGTCCACGGCGATTCCCAGGGTGTTCAGCAGGGTATGCACCCTCGTGGTGTCCGCATTCGGTGCAGGCTCTGAACTGCGGCAACGCCGCCCGCGCCGCCCCCGCCGCCCCCGCCGCCCCCGCCGCCCCTGCCGCCCCTGCCCGCCCCTGCCGCCCCACGCCCTGCCCGCTGCCTGCCCCCCCCTCCCTTGCCGCCGCCCTCATCGCCGCCATCGCGGCGTACCAGCGACCGCGGCGGAAGCAGTCAGTACGCCGCCGACGCCACGGTTGGGGGCAGGCATTTGCGGCGAGCGGACGGATCCGACGGCATCATCGGGTTGCCTCAGAAGCCGTGAGCCGTCCAATCGGTCCGTGAACGGGCCCGAGGGTGTTGAAGAAGTAAAACCAGAGCTCTCTCTCTGCAGGTGGAAGAGGAACGACGCCCCCCTCAAAGCCGCAATCTGGAAGGTCGCTACAGGTTCCCGCCCACGAGGTGAAAACTGCCACTCTGCGTCCGCTCTGCACACCATCTTTCCCTCCACTCGATTTGGGTGATGCTCTGACGGAGGGAGCCGCAGGCAGCGGCTACCGCCTCCGGGTCGTACACGATGGCAGGGGTGAACTCCAGATGCAGCTGTGGCAGGAGCTCCAACTGAACTCCGGCGTCCACCTCGTCTTCCAGATAAAGACTGATCCACGTTGCCTCCTCAAACTCGCGAAATACCCGTTGCAGCAGTTGACGGTCATCACAGCAGTCATCTGACAAAGTTATGCTTCACGCGTCACGCCACGGGGCCGGAAAGGATTGAGGAGACAATACTGCAAAATCACTGCGAAAATAGCAGGCCTGACACCGGTCTACAACCTCGAAAAGCTAAGCAAGTCTACAATCATTTCGCAAAGTCTGTGTTCCACAGAGTAGGAACCTTGAAGCCAATGCGAACGAATCGCATGAAAAAAAGCTTCAACTCCTCCACCAGCCCGCTCAAGGCACCCGTCTTCATCGGACGCTGCCAGACCACCTTCAAATAAGAACACACGTGTGTCACAACGAAATGTTTTTCGGGTCATCAGAATGAGCGCAACATACTACGAGAATAATTTTTGGGTGATTGCTCCAGAAAACATGGCACCAACACAAAGGGTTTGGGGATGATTGAACGAAACAGAGACGGGAGAAAAATTCACCTGCTCATATTCATTGAAGACTATGAACAAGCCGTACACTGGTCTTGAGCGCTCCTCGCCCGCTCTTGCCCCGAGCCGGATGATCTTCGCAAACTTAAACGAAGCATCCCCATCCAGAACCTCTCGTGCATCAAGCGGTGCTGATACTCCTCCAGGGTCCAACTCACGCCATCCACCTCCAGCACGGGGAGTTTCGAGAAATACAACCGCCACACGTCCCGCAAATAGTGCTCCGACGGGACCGCACCGCCGTACTTTGTCGAGTCATCAAAGCCGAACCTCTCCGGAGTTTTGGCGAGGTTGGCCGAGCGGAAGATGCCCGAGCTGGTCCGCCGTGAGTTGACCAGAGAGGTGCACTTCAGTTGGTCCACCATGAACTTGGTCGTATGCGCCTGCAACAGCATCACGAGGGCGACACGTTTTCGTTGTAGCACGGGTCGGCGCTTTTGAGATCCGACATTTCCCGCAGCAACGTTTGCGGTACCATCCGAAAACGTTTTGAGCAGGCTAGGAAAGCCAAGACTAGACCAACCCGTTATATTAAGACGCTGCAGATGAGAAAATGCACATTCACCTGACAAATGTTCTTGGCAGCAGCGGAGAAGTCCTTCCCATGCACTAAATCATCTGCAAGCCGGTCCACCATGCGAATCTCAATGCCCGATCGCTTGGTGAGAAGGAAAGGGAACTCCTTGGAGATGTACTCCGGGAGACGCCGGAGGCACCCAGCATCCCACGCGTTGAAGCTCGTCTTGCGCTTTCCCACCTCCTGCTTGCCTTTGTTGAACTCCGCGCACTTCGCACACTTGTACCTGCACATGCATGGGAGAAAACATGCACCACGAGCAACGTCGTCGGAAAACCACAACACCAACTCCAATCCAGAAGAAACCTAGAATTCGATGCCACGAAAACATGACTGATGAAGTTTATCGAGCGAAAACTCTTCATCGCATGCTGAACTTACCGAAACCCCATGATGTACGCCACGTCGTGCTCCATGAACACCCGGCGTGGCCCCTTAGGGTTCCAGCCATCAGGTGCGCCCTTGCCCCCACATCCTGGACAAGGAACTGCCTGGAGCTCTGGGAACAAGAACTCCGGTATCCATACCAATACTGCCTTCTGATAAAACCGGTCGAGTTTC